GCTTCGGACATGACTAATTGAAAAGTGTGCGGACTGTTAGAAAGGCCGAATGGTAGTCGGTTAAATTCGAAGACTCCTTCGTGACATGTGAATGCAGTTTTGTGTTTCGTTTCTGGATGGAGCTTTATTTGATGGAATCCATTGAACATATCGACGGTACTATAGAATTTCGCCTTCGCCTCGCCTAACATATCAACAATATCGTCCATTTGAACAATTGGGTGCACCTTTTTAGTTGTCAAAGAATTCAGGAGTCGAAAATCAACGCAAAACCTATACTGGGGCGTATTGGGTGTTGACGATGCTGACTTTGGACTCTTCTTCAGGACTAAACAAATGGGACTGGCCCATTCACTTTGTGACGGTTCTATAATATTGTATTTTCTCATCTCTTCTATATGTTTGCTGGCTTCTCCTTTAATGGCTGGTGATTGCCTGTAGAACCTTTGTCTTACAGGTGGCGCGTCGCCTGTTTCAATACGGTGGGGATGAAGATCTGTACAACCAAGTTCGGATAAATTTATAGCAAAAACGTCCCTATTTGTACCTAACATCACCATTAGTTTTTGTTTTTGTTCTGTTGTTAAATCAGAGTCAGAAAAATTGAAATTTAAACTTTTAGCTATTTCGATGTACTTTGCTTCATTATTTTTATTTTGTGTACCCTTATCTATTGAATTTATTTCTATTGTGTCATCGGTGATTTCACTTGAAATCGAGTTCTCTATAATTTCACTGAACTTGCCTATTTTTGTATGCTTCGATAACCGTACTTTGGCATTTGTAGGATTAAGAACTTGTAAAAATGTTTTATTGTTTCTTATTTGTACAAGACATGTGGCACCTACAATATTCTGTTTACCAACCAAGGCTGGGTTCGGTTCAATAATACCTAATTTAGATTTTATACTTTTGTCAACAGTTTGAACGGGGATAATGACTTCTGACCTACTGGGAATTACTTCGTCGTTAATTAAAGAAATAAAGCAAATACTATTGTCATTATTATCACCATTAGTAAGGGGTACTTCAGTAATACCAGACTGTAGAACAAGGGTTTTGTCATCAAAATTAAGCCTTGCCTTCTGATTATCTAAAAAATCTAAACCAAGAATAATTGAATGTCTAAAATTTTCAAAAACTTGAAATGTTTGTTCCATAGATAAACGACCTATTTCTATAGTTACATGAATTTGTCCTATTGTTCTTAAAGTTGCTCCACTTGCGCCAGTTGCCAGTAGATATGCTTTTTCAAGTGGTACTGTCTTTTGCAAATTTGCATAATAAAAATCTGCCGAAATTGCGCTAATAGTAGCTCCTGAATCAACCATAGCCATACCAAAATGATTTGCAACCCGAATTTTAATTAAATTTGATGCTTTTGTATTATTTAAACCTGTTGCCGAAATGAATTTTGTTGGTTGCGCCGAAAAATGTTTTTGTTTTGATCTACACATTTTTGCTTTGTGGCCTATGGATTTGCATTTATTACATTTTATTCTAATAAAGCGACATTGAGATGGAATATGGTCACACTCACCGCATCTGTAGCATGGGTTACGTCTGCGTTGTCGTCTTGGCGTTCTGGTACGATGTTGAACTTTGCGATAATCAAGAAGAGGTTCCACCATTGTCGGACTTGCAGTAGGTTGCTGGAGCGCTTTGCTGTTTACGGCACTTATTTGTTGTAGCATCTTCTCCATTTCCGGTTGCAGTTTTGTGACGATATTATCCTGCATTCTCTTCTGGTCTTCCTCTCGTAGACATTTGGATGTCGCTTCGACTGAACGAAGTCGATTTTCTGCTTCCGCCACTGTCTCTGGCCATTTACCGAAGGCCATTTGTCGCATAAGCTCAGGTTTACATTCATTTCGGAGCTTATATAAAATAAATTGTTCTCCATAATTGTGGTTTTCCGATAAAACATGAAGCCGGTTGATATATTCTGACACTGATTCTTCTTCGCGTTGAGATAGGTTTATCAATTCGGTACTTGTTTGAAATTTTTGTCCTGAAGAAAATTCGTATTTCTTTAAAAACTCACACTTTAAATTGTTTCGACATTTTGTAACATCTTCTGACAATCTGTTATACCATATTTGTGCGTTTTCTTCTAGAAATAGTGGAAATGCATTACAAAATTTAGATTCATCGTAATATAAAGAAACGAAGTTTTCGAATAACTTCCACCAACGACTTGGGTTTTCGGTAAAGTCACCTTTGAATTTCGCTAATATTTTCGTAGGGTCCATTTTGAAATTAGTTGTACAGATCTAGATTATATTATTAAAAGTTCAGCATAGTTATGTATGATAAGAATATGTCCAATGTAAAGAATAACACATTTTTCTCTTCTTCCGTCGTTTCATTTCTCTCGCTGTAATTTTTTTCTATAGCACTAATAACAAAAATCTGTTAATAAAAGTACATTTTGTCACTCGCTTGGCTTTTGAGGTACTCTTCTGAGAACACGGGTCGTAATCCACCACATATGACCAGGTTGTTGTTCACCTCTGTCATATTAATTATGTTTCGGGGGAAACTAGCGGTAGCTCAGATAAAGTCCAAGTCGCTGGAAAGTTTTCATATTTATTTAGCATCCACATAATTCAAACAATAAAACATAACTGCATAACAACATAAAAACAAATCTAAAATACAAATTCAAAAGACTGATTGACATGCGGAATATCAACCAATCAAATATCTTTTCATTAAATAATATTAATTCGCGTTTTGCCGAAAGCGGCGATTACGGATTAAAACATGCTTCGTATAAGTTTGTCAAGAATGGCTTTCGGCAGTTATCACTTAGTGTCAAATTATCTATGTTCTTTGTTACAGAACCTTTTATCTTAAAGACGGATATAAATCTTTGATAATTAATCTGAATGAAAGGATTATAGTTAAGTGTAAAATACAAGTAACTTTTGAATAGCGTAAAATACAATAAACTAATAAATTATTAAAACGCAATGAGGACTCGGAATAATAATAAAAAGCTAACATTTATAAAAATATACAAAATCCTAAATGTGAACTTTGAACGAACAATTGTCGGGTCATATTGGCGATGAATGACGATCTATTCTATGATTTGGAACCAAAAAAAAACCGACTTTTAAATATTTCTTGACGTATTTAAGCTGAAATGGGTTTTTTATGCCCCACCTACGATAGTTGATGGGCATTATGCTTTCTGGTCTGTGTGTCCGTTCGTCCGTCCCTCCCGTGTCAGGTTAAAATTCATGTTTTGGTCAAGGTAGTTTATGATGAAGTAGAAGTCACATCAACTTGAAACTAAGCATAAATATTCCTTATGATCTAATTAATTGTAGGTCAAATTAGGGTTTTGACCTCAATTTCCACGGTTCACTGAACTTATAATTGTGATAGTGTAAAAACAATACATTTCCTTGTTAAAGTTTTTGGTCAAGGTAGTTTATGATGAAGCAGAAGTCACATCAACTTGAAACTAAGTACAATTGTTCATTATGATATGCTCTTTCTAGATTGTATGTTAAATCAAGGCTTTAACCCAAATTTCACTGTTCACTGAACTTATAAATGTGAACATTTAAATGTAAAAACAGTACATTTCAAGGTTACAGTTTTTGGTCAAGGTAGTTTTCATGAAGTAGAAATCACATCAACTTGAAATTAAATAAAAATGTTCTTTCTAAATTGTGTGCCAAATTAGGGTTTTGATGTCAATTTCAAGGTATATTGGCTTTGCTCATTGTTAAAGGCCGTAAGGAGACCTGTAGTTGTTAATTTCTGTGTCATTGGGTCTATTGTGGAGAGTTGTCTCATTGGCAATCATACCACATCTTTTTTTTTCATATATATGGTCCTCGTACGGACAGACCTCCACATATACTATTGGAATCGGTATCGGATTCGACCCGGAACTTGTTAATTATTGGTAATATTAGTTATTTGAAAAACAAAAGGGCCTGGAATGAGGTAATGTTTAGTCAACACTGTTGTCTTATATTGGCTATAAATAAAGTTGAATTCTTTGATTCGTCGTTTTAACGTCATGCAGGATAACAAATTGGACCTCGTTAGTTTAGTAGTATAGATATGCCTGCCACGACCTCTTGTATCATAGCCAACTCGAATAATCTCTTAGTATGTCTAGCCTGTAAGAGCTCATTTAAACTATGTGACATAACGGGTCCCAGTCCCACCCACATTTTACGTTCATTTGAGATTTCTTAAACTAAATGCTAATCCAAGAGAACGGACTAGTAATCAATGGGAACGAATTTATAATATATAAGTAATCCTAGGAAAATGCAAAAAACAAGAAATTATTGTTAACGGAATTTAAATGACAAGCAACTGTTCATAATTATTGTTAACGGAATTTAAATGACAACCTACAGTACTGTTCATAAAGTCAAAAAATACAGCCTCGGTGGTGTAATGGTTCGCGTGCTCGCCTAGAGTGCGGGATGTCGTAGGTGCGAACAGCGGCCGGGTCAAACCAAATACTTGAAAAATTTGTATTTGCTGTTTCTCCGCACGTGGCATTCAGGAGTAAGAGCAAACACTGGTCGACCCGGAGTCAGAATAATGTGTCCGTGTAGGGTGACATGCCTTCCTGAGAACTGTCACCTTGTGAGCTAGCACGTTAAAAATCCGACTAGTACAAAGCAAGTTTAATATTCATTTTTTTTATCATGTTCTCTGCCTGAATATGCATTTGACCTGCCATTGGACGTTAAGCGACCATCATCAATCCATCCATCAAGTCAACACTGCTAAAACGCTTAACTTAAATATTAAACAGAAACAAATTTTGCGAAAGTTTTTATATCATTTCTCAAAAGTAAATGTGCAATTAAGAATATTCTAAATTACATAATTTGAAAAGAATAATGTGTACCATGTAAAGAATAAATGAATAAACAAAATTTTAGAGCAGCTCATCTGTAAGTATTTACTATACAAATATGTGAAATATGAAAAACGTGTATTAATATTTGGCTTACCTTCTTTTGTGTTATACACAAGTTCTGCATTGTTTCTTTCCATTATGAATTGTATGTCAACAAAACTAAACCCAGTAGACTCTACAGTTCTTTCCGGTTCTAGAAATAAACGAATGCTTTCATCAGAGGACATTAAACATGTCTCGTTAGTTCTGCCGTCTGCTGCTAGAAGTCGCTTTAAGCCAGCTGGTCGTTCATAGTTAACACTGTATGTAGACTCGTTTGGAAGTTCTTGTGAAATCTGAACTCTTACATTTTCTGCATTCAAAATGAAACACAGCAGAAAATCACCACGGAAAATTGGTTTAAAGTTAATACGGAGAGCTCCTCCGTAAACATTATACCATTTGAAACTACCTTCGTTGCACACTGGTTGCACCTTGCGCACTGCTCGGACGTCTGAATATTCCTCGCTGAAATTTAAAAAAAAAATGTGTTTGATTCTTCTCAACTCTTCATCGTATTAGCTAGCGACGATCTCGCTCAATGGTACAGGCTTACCAAAAAAAAGTTAACGAGATTGTTGATATACGTATAGTTGGAAACCTTTGGTCACCGGAAGATCGTTCAGGGATAGCGCCATTCATGACATTCATTGTCTGTCCGGAACAGGAAGTAATGCAAATAGATCCTTCAATAAGAAAAATAAGTGTTAAATTTTGTATTCTTTAATGAATATATGTTCCGATTTCTGGATTACAAAAGAAAAACCATAATAGTATTTGAAAGCAGGAAATAGAAGGAAAAAAAATGCTCGTCTAGATCTTTTCTCGAATTTTGCCGGAGAATCCACGTCTGATATCCAGTATTATGACGTTATTTTCCGAACCAATCGCATCCGTCATCTAAACTTGGCCGATTCCGGAGAGTAGTAGATTCACCCGTTGGTTGCCGATCCTCCGTTAAGTTCGATATACCCCTCGAGAGCGAATTGACTTACTACAAGTTGAATGCTTCACCTTTCTCATCGCTCGCAACATATAGGTTTTACCTATAATTGACATATTGATTCCAAGCATGTCTGTGATAAGGTAAGGTGAGATGAAACCTGTAAAACTGATATACACATTTCCCGCGTATAGTTTTTTGTGGCACCAAATATTGTTATAGCAAGATCAAAACCCTGTCTAAACCTGCGTCATTGCATATAGTTGTTCAAAATCAATTCTTAAATAAATCAGATTATTCCCGTTCAAAGAACGCATGAAAACGTTGACAGAGAATTTTCCTTACAAGTAAAATAAGTCACGCTTATTTTCAAACTATCGGCAAACAGAAAAGGTAGCACGACATGAATTAAACATGTGTACACACTACAACTCCCTATCCATGCTATGATAAAGCTTCAAACCGAATATAAATTCCCTACCATAAAAGTAAAGAAAACGTTAACGAATAAATTTTATTGCACATAGAGCGCCTTTATGATAATTCATTTCGGTTTGGAAAGAGAAACTTCTTTAAAAATAACTATAAAACGATAAAATAAGAAAAACATTATATAAGATATACATGAAATTTTAAAGAGTTTTCATGTTTTTGGCTAATACAAAATATTTCTGTATATGTATAAATTATACATGGATAAATGAGCAAACTTGTGTAGTATGCATTATTTTCTAAAAACCTTTTTAAGGCCGATAAGGACTAACGGTTGATTAATATTATAACAATCTTCATCAGAACCTTTCGTTTCCTTTGAATTGACAATGGCTAAAACAGATTGTCTGTGTTTGCAATTGAGGTAATATTTTGTCACTAGTTTTCCCACTGCATGCGTGCACAGGGTTATAGTTAGACATGTTAAGGTGAAAATTTTATTATAATTTATAGGTAGATAATATTTACTTACCTGATAGTACAATCACATTTATAGCAAATATTCTGTGATTTGACCATAAAATTACTAATATACAACGGTAAATATGGAAATTTTTGAAATACATTTTTTGACAATTCTAATCATGGAAAGCAATCTATATAGGACACTCTACCACAAAATGAAGGTCATTTTATATTCAGTGAACAGTGTTGACAGAGCCTTTCATTTCTTGACAAAATTTCATGTTTTCCTTAAATAATATTTACTTTTCTTTCATGCATCTCAATTTCTATTCTCAAACTGTGGTTACTCAGTCTAAATTTTGTTAAGGTTCTTCTGCTGTTAATTTTTTTTATATATTAAAGATTGAAAGCAAATTTAGATTTAAAATACGTGCTTAATTTAACAGTATCTTTTGAATAGCTATTTTTATAGACCGCACAATTTATTATGGGTTCGTATAGTGCTATAATGTTGTCGTCGTTTGCATCGTCGTCACCTGAAAACACATTTGGTTTCCGTACAATAACTTAAGTTTAGGTGAATGGATCTCTATAAATTTTTTTAAGAAGGTTCAATACCATAAAAGGAAGATTGGGATTTATTTGGCAGATGACGGTCCCAATCGTTTAGGAATTAGGAGCCCAAAAGGGACCCAAAACAAGCATTTTTCTAGTGTCAGGATAATAACTTGTGTATAAGTATTTCAATTGCTCTGAAATTGTACCACAGCTTAATACCACAAGTACAAGGTTGGGATTCATTTTGGGGGTTATGGTGCCAACAGTTTAGGAAATAAGGGCTAAAAGGGGCCAAAAACAAGCATTTTTGTAGCTTCCAGACAATAGCGTGTGTGTAAGTGTATGGATCTCTCTGACATTGTACGACAAGGTTCCATATCACAAAGGGAAGACTGGGATTGAGTTTGGGGGTAATTGCCCCAAACATGCAGGAATTAAGGGCAAAAAAAGAGCCAAAACAAGCATTTTTAGAGTTTCCAGACAATAACTTATGTTTAAGTAAAATTGAGAATGGAAATGGGGAATATGTCAAAGAGACAACAAACCCGACCAAAGAGCAGACAACAGCCGAAGGCCACCAATGGGTCTTCAATACAGAGAGAAAATCCCGCACCCGGAGGTGGTCCTCAGATGGCCCCTAAATAAAATTGTGTGCTAATTCAGTGAAAATGGACTAAACTCCAAAACATATAAATGAACTAAGATTAAAATAAAATGCTCCGCTGGGCGCAGCTTGATACGACCGCAGAGGTCGAACCCTGAACAGTTGGGGTAAGTATGGACACAACATTCAAGCTTGATACAGCACTGAATTTGGATTGTGATTAAATATTTGACCCAGCATAGGTTTCTGACACAGAATGAATGTGGTCTAAGAACTTAAATTTTTTTAATTTACCTATTTAAACCATATCATTATTATTTGCTTTTATATACAATCAGAAATAACCAATTTAAAATGGAAAATTTTAAAGAAAAAAAAGGGGAAAAAAATCCCCCCCCCCCAAATTTTTTGAACCCCTTATGATTCATCACCCCCAAACTCAATCCCAGCCTTCCCTTTGTGGTATGGTACCTTGCAGTTCAATTTCAGAGAGATCCATACACTTGAACACAAGTTATTGTCTGGAAACTAGAAAAATGCTTGTTTTTTGGCCCCTTTTTGGCCTCAAATTCCTAAACGTTTAAGGCAATTACCCCCAAACTCAAAACCAGCTTTCCCTTTGTGATAAGGAAACTTGTAGTACAATTTCATAAAGATCCATACACTTACACACAAGTTATTGTCTGGAAACTAGAAAAATGCTTGTTTTTTGCCCCTTTTTGGCCCCTAATTCCTAAAATTTTGAGGCAATTACCCCCAAAATCAATCCCAGCCTTCCATTTGTGGTATGGTACCTTGCAGTACAATTTCAGAGATATCCATACACTAACACACAAGTTATTGTCATGAAACTAGAAAAAAATGCTTATTTTTGCCCCTTTTTTGGCCCCTAATTCCTAAAATTTTGAGGCAATTACCCCCAAAATCAATCCCAGTATTCCCTTTGTGATATGGAACCTTATGGTACAATGTCAGAGAGATTCATACACTAACACACAAGTTATGTCTGGTAGTTACAAAAATGCTTATTTTTGGCCCCTTTTTGGCCCCTAATTCCTTAACTGTTGGTACCATAACCCCCAAAATCAATCTTAACCTTCTTTTTGTGGTATTGAACCTTATGGAAAATTTCATAGAGATCCATTCACTTAAACTAAAGTTAGAGTGCGAAAACCAATTTGTCTTTGGGCGACGACGACGACGACGACGACGCCGGACGACGACGACGACGACGACGACGACGCCAACGTCATACCTATATACTACCGCAAATTTCTTGGCGGCAGTATAAAAACATATTAGACTAACAAAGACCAGAGGCTCCTGACTTGGGACAGGCGCAAAAATGCGGCGGGGTTAAACATGTTTTGTGAGATCTCAACCCTCCCCCTGTACCTCTAGCCAATGTAGAATAAAGAAACACATAGCAATGCACAGTAAAACTCAGTTGAAAAGAAGTCCGAGTCCGATGTCAGAATAGGTAACAAAAGAAACTAAGCAAAATGACAATGATGCATACATTAACATAAGTGTATGGATCTCTCTAAAATTGTACTACAAGGTTCCATACTACAAAGGAAAGACTGGGATTGAGTTTGATGGTTAATGTTCCAATGGGGATTAAAAAAGTTTGAAAGGGGGGGGGGGGTTTCAATTTTTTTTAAGCGATTCATATTTTTTTTTCAACATTTTTCAAATTTCAAATTTTTGAAAAGTTTCAAGAAGAAATCTTCAATTGCACAGTAATGCGCATTAGATTTGTAAAATATTTGACTACATTTATTTTGTGTCAGAAACCTATATTATATCAAAAATTTGATCACAATCCAAATTCAGATAGTATCAAGCTTGGATATTGTGTCCAAATTTCAGCCCCAACTGTTCAGGGTTCGACCTCTGCGGTCGAATCAGGCTGCGCTCAGCGAAGCATTTTATTGACTTTAAGATTTATATTTCATTGTTAAACAATCATCATTCATTCGTTTTTTTCTTAATTTGTGTGAATTAACAGTAAATGTCAATTACAGCACTTTCATACCACAACAAAAGTAGCTTACACCGAACATTACTTCGTCATTTCACTTCACCCATATATTTATCTCTCAAACGATGAATTCTTAAAGCTCATAGATCAAAATTAAGTTTGATCAAATAAAAATAATGGAATCTGAAGCGTGATCATATTCTCATTTTTAAGATTAAAACAGGACTTTCAAACACGCCGGAATGTAAAAGGTGTACACGACTTGCTTCTTCTTCTTTTTTAAGCATACTTCTATAACTTATTTCAAGATACTTTTGTCGAAGGTAAAAATTCAGATCACTGATGCATCTTTCAGAATTCTGATAGTAGGCTGTGTCATGTTCCGTAGAATTTTATCAAATTGAAATTATGAGGACGTATCTGCAGGAAAAATATGATTACACTTTACTGAACCAGTTAATTTGTTTTTATCTTGTCTTTAATTATTTTGATGCATGGATTCTAAGTTTCCTTCTCTCCTTTCTCCCGCTCCCTCTCTCCTTTCTCCCACCACTTCTCTCCCTGTCTCCCTTTACCCTGTCCGCCCCCTCTATTATGGTTTTTCTTCTTAAACCAGAAATCGGAACATACATTCATGAAAGAATACAAAATTTAACACTTATTTTTCTTATTGAAAACTCTTTATATTTGCATTAGTTCCTGTTCCGGACAGACAATGAATGGCGCTATCCATGAACGTTCTTCCGGTGACCAAAGGTTTCCAACTATACGTATATCAACAATCTCTCATTTTTTTTTGTTAAGTACTTTCTTCAAGCTTTGTATTATCTAATTTTATGAAATAATCAATTTCCGACTCACTTTTATTATTTTTTTATAAACATTTTTGTCTCCCTTATCTACCCCTCATAGTAGGCTTAATGAAAACGACCTCATAAATACGCCAAGCGTCGTCACTTATTCAATCATTACGATCTCTTATATACGGAGAAAGACTGAAAACTAACAGAATATCAATGATTGTATTCTAAATCCGTGCATTTATAGAAACAAACATGTTACCATCCCTGTTTTTTAGATAAATTGCGTCGAAGTTGACCGATATGCAAAGAATTTGACAGAAAAGGGATGACGCTTCTGCATATCAAATAGCGTTATTTTTACGGAGAGGTATGAAAAAGTAAAATCACAAAAATACTGAACTCCGAGGAAAATTCAAAAAGGAAAGTCCTCAATCAAATGGCAAAATCAAAAGTTCAAACACATCAAACGAATGGATAACAACTGTCATATTCCTGACTTGGTACAGGCATTTTCGTATGTAGAATGGTGGATTGAACCTGGTTTTATAGCTAGCTAAACCTCTCACTTGTATGACAGTCGCATCAAATTCCATTATATTGACAACGATGCGTGAACAAAACAAACAGACACAATAGGTGAAAATGTAAAAAATAGGGGTACAGCAGTCAACATTGTGTTATCATCTTAATCACTATAAAAACAAACAAATGTAACGAAGAAGCAAAAAAAGGCATACATCAAATTTAACGTCCTCATTTTGATTATATTATACGATTTTATTTATCTATGTAAAATCCACCCATAAAGGATGGAAGGTTTTAAGTACTGACGTAAAATCGCGCGTTTGAAATTCGCACAGGTCGACATAAAATAATTTTGTCGTTCAAAGTATGACGGGATACATAAATACAGAGTCGCGTAAAATGGATATCACAAAAACAGTCTTAACAGTAAAAGTAATATTAATAAATAAAATAATTGTGTGGTTCAAAGTATGACGGGATACATAAGTACAGAGTCACGTCAAATGTATATCACAAAAACAGACTTAACAGTAAAAGTAATATTAATAAATAAAATAATTTTGTCGTTCAAAGTATGACGGGATACATAAGTACAGAGTCACGTCAAATGGATATCTCAAAAAACAGACTTAACAGTAAA